TGTTTTTTGGGAGGGAACTGGCTGGATTTATGGGCACAGGACACTAGGGCCTCAACAGACTGAGCACCCTTTTGGGGCTTCCATGCAAAGCCCTCCACCTGTGGGGGGAGGGGGGGCGGGGGTTGTGCCAGTGCTCCAGGTGACAAGCAGGCCTGGGGGAGGGAGAAGGAGAGGTCTGGAAGCAGAAGGAGCAGAGCTCCTAGAGGTCACCCAGGCCTCTCACGGGCATCTTGGATAAGCAGGTGCAGCCTGAGCAAGGCAGGGTAGACAGTGATGGGATTCTTCGAAGCCCGGCTTTGCTTACTGCAGTGACGGGAAGCTGCTTCCTTCTACCTCACCCTGAATGGCTGTCTTCCCGGGGCTTCCTCTTGGAACCCAGTCTTGGTGGTGGGGCTGTACTTCCTGGTCCATGACAGCACTCAAAGCGTGGGAACAGGGTGAGCCTGAGCCCCACCCATGAGTTGGGGGTCAGATGGGATCCCCATGACCTCATCCTCCCACCCTCACCCCCACACAAACACTTCCCACTAGGCCTGCAGCCTTCCTGCCTCTGGCCCTTTAAGGCTGGGGCAGGAAGCCCCTCCCCATTTAGGGCAATAAATGGACACATAAAATGGCCGAAGGCCTGTTTGCTGGTGTCTGGCCAGAGGGAGGCCTGTGAGGGCAGGGGGGTAGGGGGCAGGCTGGCAGGGGGCAGCCAGCAGCCACTCTGGGCCTTTGGTGCCCCCCCCCGCCCCCCCCCAGTCGAGATGCTGAATTCCTGTCCCATTAAACCCCCAGCCAGGGACAGGGCCAGGCGGGGATTGGCACCAAGTCAGGGCAGGGTAACCCGGCGGGACCAACCTTGCAACACAGGCTGTGTGCCTGGGAGGGGGAGGGGGCGGCCGGGCGTGGGCCTGGCAGCTGAACCTGGGCACTAGGCTTGCTTTGTGACCTTGGATCAGCCGCCCACCCTCTCTGGGCCTGGTTTTGCTCCCCTGGTTTCTTCCTTGGGCACCATGACCCACTTCCTTGGCACAGAGTGGGTGGTGAGGTGGCTGGAATAACATTCAGAAATGAAGTTCAAAAAGCCCCTCATCCACAAGGGGGAGGCGAACAGCCTTGTTGGGGTGCACTGGCACATAGTAGGTCCCCAGGCAATGTTTGCTGAGTGGATGAGAGTGGGACTCTGGACCTAGAGCACCCCCAGCCCTCTTGCCACTGTCATGACCCTTGAGGAAACTGAGGCACAGAGGGTTGCTGCCTCTTGCCCAAGGTCACCCAGCTTGGAAGTGGAGGAGTTGGGGTTTGGATCTGGGCTGCCAGGCCTGGCATGTAGTAGGTGTTTAATGTTTCTTTGGTTTCTTTTTGTATTCTCTGGGTTGGGGAATGCAGGGGTCTTGACCCCCTAATGAAGCTGCCCCTGTCCCAAACACTCCTCCAGGAAGGCCTTGGCTGGTGATGACCTGCCTACCCCCTGCTGGCCATCCCCTCTTTTTCCTGAGGAGTGTGGGTGGGAGGAGGAGGCCCAGCCCCAATCCTCACCTTTTGCCTGACCTTGGAAAGCCGCCTGTTAATGCAGCCTCTCCTTCCCCAAGTCCCCTCTCCTAAGCACCCACCTCCAGTCTTTTTCCTCTGCTGTCCCCCATGCCGGGACACCCTTCCTATGATGTTGGGGTCCTTCCTGGGTGACACTTGCTGCTCCTGGGACCAGGTCAAGGCATTTCTGACCTCACCTCTGTGTCCCTGCTGTTGAGAGGCAGCAATTCAGGCCAGCTCAGAGCAGTCTTAGTCCCCACCTGGCTGCTAGCCTGGTCATCTCTCCAAGCCTCTCCTCCTCTGTAAAACCCAGGGCTTTATTGTGGAGAGGATGAAATGAAGGTGCCTCTCCAGAGGAGGTCCTGCCTCCTAAGTGAGCCTAAGTTAGATGGGAGGTGGAAGCAGCACTGTCCCCGGGTCCTGGGTGTGTCAGTTAGCTGGGTGGGTGGGGCTGGGTGTGGGCTCTCTCCAGCCCATAGCGTCTTTGGTTCTTGTTGAATGCTGTGCTCCTACTGTGCGCCACCCAAGGGAGGGCCCAGCATAGGGGCCTAGGAGTGGCCCAGAGGGAGGAGGGCACCCCACTTCCAGCCCAGGAGGAGCCTGCTGAGGCCTGCCCCTTAGCTTGAGGAGTCAACAGAGGCCCCGGAAATCCCAGGAGGGCAGGCTCTCTGGGGGGTGGAGTTGTGATGAAGGACAACCCAGGTGATCCTGAGCTCTGGGGACCCTAGCACTGGCTGTCATGGGGGTGGTACTTTCCTGGAGGAGAGAAGTTTTGTTGGATTGTCACTACCAAGGAAACCCCCACTTTCAGAGTACCCACTAGGTGAAGTTCTCCTGTTGAGACAATCCCAGGGCACACAGTGGGTGTTTTCCTTCCAGGCCCCACCTGACCCACCAAGAGGGCTCAGCTGTCCTTTTCCCATCTAATAGGCTCTTCCACTTCTTTCTTAGAGGGAGAGCCCTGAGAGACCCAGATGGGGCAGTGGCTCTGGGCATGGTAGGCAGGTGAGATGTGTTCCTGGAGAGAGGGTGTGGGTCAGGTGTCTGCAGAGCCAGTTTAGTTTCCAGGGTGAGGAAAGAGATGATGGCTTGTTGGGTAGGTCGGGGGCCAGCCTCTGACCTCTGTCAGCTCTTGGACCCCAGAACCTATGGATCAACCTTGCTGGGCACCCTTTGGCAGGATTTTATGTCTCTGGGCCTTGGTTTTCTCATCTGTAAAATGGGGGATCATGCTACTCTCATGGGGACTTTCCTTGGTTGACACTTCCCCAGGCCCTGCCCTTTGAGGGAGGGTCTCTGATGATTATCTGGGGAATAGACGCTCCAACTGGGAGAGGACAGGGATATGGATACTCTAGGCCAGCGGTCATCAATCTTTCAGACCTCATGGACCACCAGTTGGCGACCACTGCTCCAAAGGTTTCCTTAAACCAGCGGTCGCCAACCTTTCGGACCTCACGGACCACCGGCTGGCGACCGCCACTCTAGGCCCTTTGCACACGGCCCACTTCATCCCCCTAGTGGAGACCAGTGTCCCGGGTCAGGTTTGAGGCCCAAGCTTGCACGTTTCCAGCTGGGTGGCTTCTGGCAAAGCGGGAGGAAGCCTGGGTATCTTAACACTTAAAGTAGGGCTGTGCTGGCCCCCTGGCCTGGTGTGCTCAGTGCTTGAGGGAGGGTGGGGGTGAGTCACCTGAACTATTTCAGGTTGTGACCTTGAGACCCCTGGAGATACCTCAAGGTCCAAGGGGACCCTAGGGGCACCCGGGGGACAGTGGCAAGCAGGGCTAGGGTAGCCATCTTGGGGTGTTGGTCGCCTGGATGGGGAGGAAAATGAGGAGGGGCGAGGCTGGTCTGATTCCATTTACTCTCTCGAGCTCAGAGGCCAGACAGCAGATGGTGGAAGGGGGTGGGAGCCACCATAGGGGGCTCCTCTGATGGCTGATCGATCCTCAGATGGGGTTGACCTCCATCCTCCTGCTCTCAGCAGCCACATCTGAGCCGACCCCCCCCCCCCCCCCCCCCGGCTGGCAGAACAGAGGGGCCAGCGGAGCAGCTGGTGCAGTCTGCAAGAAAGAGGGCGGGCCTTGGAGAGAGACGTCCTGGGAAGTGTAGTGCCTGCCTGAGCATTACACAAAGGCCTCTGTCAGCTCTGAGGCCTGGACCCCACTCCCAGGGCAGCCCTGGGTCGGGACAGTTCCATCCTGGCCTTGTACCCTGCCGGACCAACCCTGGGCTCCCTTGCTGGGCCAGCTACGTGAATCCCACTCACAGCACTGCAGGAGGGATCTGGGTTAGAGTTGGGCTGGGCTGCTTGGCTGAGAGGCTGGGGTCCTTAGGAGGCTGAGGAAGGCCCAGCTCAGCCCACTCCCTGCTGTCCACGAGCTGTGGCCCAAGAGCCAGCTGGTTGGGCCTGGAGGAATGTGGGTTGTGTTGGGTGGCTTGGGACAGCCGGGGGCTCCCCGGAGAGGGTGGAGGGGTGGGGACAGGAGCCAGAGGGTTGCACAAGCGCCCGAGTGGGTGGATGAGTCACAGCCCAGGGGAAGGCGGAAAAAAGGAGGGGTGGGGAGAGGGGTGGGACAGACAGACAGAGTTCTCTCAATGGCCTGCTCTTCCAAAGGCTTCTGCCCATTTGACAGATGGGGAGATTGAGGCCCAGAAAGTGGCAGGGCCTTGTCCTGGCTTTACAGGGCAGTCAGGGGGGTTGAAAGCTGGAGAGAGCTGGGCAGGCAGGAGGCCCTAGCCCCCTGCTCCTCCTTGATGGGGTGGCTGGGGTGACAGGTGGCCTGGTTTCCCCATTATTCACTGCCAGGGCCAAGCTGTCCTGGGGCTCCAATGGGGCAGAAAGGGGTTTGTCCTTCAGAGTCACTGCCACCCCACACCAGGGCAAACCCATGGCCTCAGTGACCCCAGCTAGGCCTTGGCTTCAGAGGACCCCAAGAGAACTAGGCCTCACCATGAGGCAGTGAGGGTCAGAGAGGCCGAGGGGACTGGTGGGGATGCACAGCCAAGCCAGTTGGATATTGGCTGGGGCAGAGGTATGGGGCCTTGGGCACATGGGCTCCTCTCCCTGAGCCCTGTCTTCACATTTCTGCAGTAGAGATGGTGCTGCCCTATGGGACTGCCGGGGGCTCAAGCATGACAGTGTACAGTAGGAGCCTTGTGAATATCACCACCATGGCCTCCTAGGGAGAGTATGGGTAGAAGCCTGCACTCAGATTCATTAGGAAACAACTTGTATTGAGGCATTTATTGAGCACCTACTGTATGCTCCCGCATCACCTCACATTGCCCTTTGGCATGCCTGTGAGCCCTCTAGTGAAGGGGCGGATGCCAGTTTTCATCTCTCAAGCACCCAGTGTGAGTTTTGCTAGCATAATCTCACGTTCTGCAAAACCAGACATGGACTGCCCTGGTGCACATCTGGGGAAACAGGGTGGGTCCCTCCCATATTCACGACCACCCCCTCCTCTCTGGTGCTGTAGGTCTCGGCGCGGAAAATGGCCGGCGGCGTGGACGGCCCCATTGGGATTCCGTTCCCCGACCACAGCAGTGACATTCTGAGTGGGCTCAACGAGCAGCGGACACAAGGCCTGCTGTGTGACGTGGTGATCCTGGTGGAGGGCCGCGAGTTCCCCACGCACCGCTCAGTGCTGGCGGCCTGCAGCCAGTACTTCAAGAAGCTGTTCACGTCGGGCGCCGTGGTGGATCAGCAGAACGTGTACGAGATTGACTTCGTCAGTGCCGAGGCGCTCACCGCTCTCATGGACTTTGCCTATACGGCCACGCTGACTGTCAGCACAGCCAACGTGAGTGACATCCTCAGTGCTGCCCGCCTGTTGGAGATACACGCCGTGAGCCACGTCTGCGCCGACCTCCTTGACAGGCAGATCCTGGCAGCCGATGGGGGCACTGATGCTGGGCAGCTGGACCTGGTAGATCAAATTGATCAGCGAAACCTCCTCCGTGCCAAGGAGTACCTCGAGTTCTTCCAGAGTAACCCCATGAACAGCCTGCCCCCCGCAGCCGCTGCTGCAGCTGCTGCCGCCGCCAGCTTTCCATGGTCAGCCTTTGGCGCATCTGAGGATGACCTGGACGCCACCAAGGAGGCCGTGGCTGCAGCTGTGGCTGCCGTGGCTGCAGGTGACTGCAATGGCTTGGACTTCTATGGACCTGGCCCCCCGGCTGAGCGGCCCCCAGCCGGGGATGGGGACGAGGGCGACAGCAACCCGGGTCTGTGGCCAGAGCGGGATGAGGATACCCCTGCAGGGGGCCTCTTTCCACCCTCCGTGGCCCCTCCAGCTGCCACACAGAACGGCCACTATGGCCGGGGTGGGGAGGAGGAGGTCTCACTGTCAGAAGTTGCCCCGGAGCCAGGGGACTCTCCTGGTTTCCTGTCGGGAACAGCTGAGGGTGAGGACGGCGATGGGACCGATGCGGACGGGCTTGCGGCTAGCACACTGCTACAGCAGATGATGTCGTCGGTGGGCCGGGCGGGGTCAGCGGCGGCGGGGGACAGCGACGACGAGTCGAGGGCAGACGACAAGGGTGTCATGGACTACTATCTGAAGTATTTCAGCAGTACCCATGACAGCGACGTCTACCCGGCTTGGTCGCAGAAGGTGGAGAAGAAGATCCGGGCCAAGGCCTTCCAGAAGTGCCCCATCTGTGAGAAGGTCATCCAGGGCGCTGGCAAGCTCCCGCGGCATATCCGGACCCACACCGGTGAGAAGCCCTATGAATGCAACATCTGCAAGGTCCGATTCACCAGGTGAGCCAGCGCCACTGGCAAGGGTGGAGGGTGTTGGGTGGCTTCCTGGGTCCTTTGCTCAAATTGCAGCTACGTGCAGACACACACACACACACACACACACACACAGCCTCCAGGGACGTAGGCAGCAGCACTGTATTCATTTTGGGGTGCCCTCCCCCCAGTGTGTCCCTTCAGAGCAGCCTTTGGGTGCAGGCACTAAACCATATGACTGCATAGAACATAAAACATGCCAGGTGGTGCCTCAGGAGCCGGGAGAAGGAGCACCAGGGTTGGTTCTTGGGACCGGAGGAGAAGTTTTGCTTTGGGAGAGGTCAACAGCCTAGTAGGGAGCAGGGAGCTCAGTTGTTTGAGTCACTTTAAGTCTCCTGTGAGTCTGGAAACTTACTTCATTCGGCCAACATTTATGGGGCACCTTCTGGGTGCCAGGCCCTGTTCTAGGCGCTGGGGATGCAGAAGTGGAGAGATAGGCCAAAATCCCCGTGGACAAAGCTTGCGTGAGATAAAATCAAAGAACTGATAACACTAGCTGGTGGAACGTGAAGAGAGCCGAGAACAAAGGGAGGGGAAAAGCTGTGGGTGCTGCTTTAAACAGAGCCGAGACCTGAAGGAGGTGAGGGAAGGAGTCGGGGGAAGGTTCAGGCAGAGGGAACAGCCCGTACAAAGCCTCTGAGACCAGTTCAGCTCAGGGACCACTGCAGTCAGGGGAGGGAATTGGCGCAGGAGCCACTGGGCTTGGTCCTTGGGCAGGAGTTTGAGGTCTGGCTGGGAAATTTGTGATTTGGTCTTAAAAGTCCAGAGGTAGCTGACTGGGCCTTGTGGGCCAGTCTAGTGGGGGTGGAGGGGTTGACGTGCAGGGGCCTGGCCAGGCTGGGTGACTCAGCACCACCCCCTACCCCCACCCACCCTGGGGTTCCCCCAGCCACACCCACCCAGACTGAAGAAAGAAGGCATTGTCCCAGCTTCCCAGCTCTGCCCCTTGGGAATAGGACCTGGGGGCTGACCCCTGGCCCCTTTCCTACAGGCCAGAACAGGAGGGTGTGGCCTGGAGTGCTGGGCCCAGGAATATCAGGCAGGGGGCAAAGGACAGCTACCAGAGGCAAGCAGTGTAATTGGTGGCCTGGCTCACCCCTTTGGTGAGATTGTGGTTCTTTTAGTTTTGGGGGCTCCATCCTCCTCCAGATGGGGCATGGAGGTGGCTATGGGCCTTGCCCTTCAGGGTCTCTGCACCTGAGAGGAACGGCTTCTTGAGTGCTCAGCAAGCCAGGGTCTGCAGAGGTGAGCAGGCTGACCTATGACCCCAACCACAGGCCTCAGGCTATTTCATTCTGACCTGGAGTTCTCTTGGCCATCCTATTCCCAACCCAGGGCTGATCCCATTTGCCAGTCAAGGAAACTGAAGCATAGAGGTACCAGGCCAAACCTCTTTCCCTCATGCACTCACCTGGCTGCTCTCTGTCCCTGACCCGGGGCCCCAGCCCCCACCCCTTCCTCCAGGCCCAGGAGCCCAGAGGCCCCTCTGAGTCACGTTAGAGAGTTGAGTAAGCAGGGCCTGTGGCAGCGGGGCTATAATTACGCTGGCCACGGTTTGGGGTGATGAAACTGGAGCTGACTCCACCTCGCAGCCCCTGACCCGCTGTGCAACTCGGTGCAAGTCACTTCCCCTCTCTGAGCCTCAGTTGGGGAAATCTCTGTATTCTCCTCGCACAGTCTGAGTCCCTGCTGCCCCTTCTGTGACTGGCCCCATGCAGTGGTCTGGGCAGAGCACCTGGGAGACGTGGTAGAGCCCCAGGCAGGAGGCCAGTTATCGTCCTCCTGTGGATAAGAAGAGGGATTCAGAGAGGTTCAGCTTTTGCCCAAGACCACACAGCAAGCAGGGCCCAGGGCCCTCTTTAGACCTTTGAGCGGCCTCTGGCTCCTTGTCCCATTTTACCCAGAACTATCCCTAGCCACAGCCTGCCTTTCGGTCATAGTTTCAGCCTCAAGGCCAGCATGAGTTGGGCGGTTGTCCGGGAAGGGGGTCCAGCACAGCGCCCACTGACCCTTGCCCCCTCCACAGGCAAGACAAGCTCAAGGTGCACATGAGGAAGCACACAGGTGAGAAGCCGTACCTGTGCCAGCAGTGCGGGGCGGCCTTCGCCCACAACTACGACCTGAAAAACCACATGCGTGTGCACACCGGCCTGCGGCCCTACCAGTGTGACAGCTGCTGCAAGACCTTCGTCCGCTCCGACCACCTGCACAGACACCTCAAGAAAGACGGCTGTAATGGCGTCCCCTCACGCCGTGGCCGCAAGCCCCGAGTCCGGGGCGGGGGGCTCGGGGGACCCGACCCTGGCCCTGGGGCCACTGCACCGCCCAGCGCCTCCGCCCCACCTGGCTCCCCTGAGGCCCGGCGCAATGGCCAGGAGAAGCACTTTAAGGACGAGGACGAGGACGAGGAGGAGGCCAGCCCTGATGGCCTGGGCAGGTTGAATGTAGCGGGTGCTGGTGGAGGGGGTGGTGATGGGGCCACTGGGAACCCTGCCGACGGCAGCTTCGCGGCTGGACTCGCCTGAAAACCAAAAAGAGAAAACAAACCCGAGAGAGAGAGAGAGAGGAGAGAGAGAGAGAAAATCACCCACCACCCCCCAAAAAACACAAAAAAAATCTATCTATATACAGATATCTATATCGATATATATATATATATATATACAGATATATATATATGAAGCATCACAAGATCTAGGATAGTGCTTTTCTCAGATTTTTCTCTTTCATGAAGTTCTCTCCCTCCATGGGAACTCTTGCCCTCCACCCCCAACTCCCCTTTCCCTCCACCCCGTCGATGGGTTTCGGGGCTTGGTTTGGGGTTTGTGGGACACGGGTTCCGAGTCCCCCCCACCCACTGGGCGGCCCCGCCATGGGGTCTGGGATTCCATTCGAGACTTGGGCAGGGTCCCAGGTTCCGGGCAGGGATGAGGGCTGCTGTGGGGGGGAGGGGGCGAGGCAGGACTGGGGTGGGCTTTAGTTTTTCTCCCCTTGCTGGTTTCTATGAGTCTTTCAGACAAGACCTTAAATGATTTCTGTCCGCTGTGAGCGGACGTTAAAATGGTCCCTGAACCTACCCCCACCCTCCTTCCTCAGGGCACTTATTAAGTGGGGGTCTTCCCCCTCGATCTCCCCCACAGCCTCCTTGCCTCCTATCCTTGTCTGTGGTCCCCTGTATCTCCTGGCCACTGCAACACAAACCTATTTATTTCCAGGTGTGGAGAAAGGGGAGAAGACGGGAAGAGGGGGCACCAGGATGGCTCCCAGGGGCTTCTGTTGCCTTCCTTCATGGCACTTAAAACCCAGTGGGGCACCCAGGGGCCACCTCTCGGAGCGCCCCCATCAACTCTGTCTGTGTCCCCTGACCCAGGTCATTCAGACCCCCATTTCAAGTTTGGAGATTTAAAACTTGTCTTCACCCCCTCCCCACCTCTCCCCTTAGCCCTCTTCCAATTTTTTAAAGCACTTTTTAGATTGTTTTCCCCTCTTTTCCTCCTTAAAAACAAAATTTATATATATATATATATAGAAAGAGAGAGATATATATATAAGATATAACTTTTCCTCAGAGGAGCAGACAACAGTGTGGGGTGAGACAGCCAAGGGCAGAGGGAACCCAGGGTCTTACGGTGGCAGGGAAGAGGGAGAGAAGAGTCCAGAAGTTCCAATGTCACAAAAGCAATAAAAAGATTTTACAAAACGAAAGGAAACAAAAACATGACAACCAACCCCAATAGAAGTCTTGGCACTTTGTAACAGAACGGGTACTATACTTTATCTTAATTTAAAAACATGTTTACAAGTTGCAACCAACTTCTATGAAAAGTTGAAAAGACAAAAAAAAAAAAATAAAAAGAGAGAGAGAGAGAGAGAGAGCGAGAGCGCAAAAAGATTCCTAAAAGCTGATTTATTTTTGTACAAAATAATAAAAAAAAAACAACCCCACCACAGATGTAGAATCCAATTCTGTGCCCCAGGTGAGAAGGGAGTAGGAAGGCCATGGGGACATGGGTGAGGTCAAGGTCTTCTGGGTGAATCTGCTTCACCAGGGGGGCTTGCCTGGCAGGCAGGACTGGGGTTTTGTATTTCTGCCATGTCCCCCACTCCCTCCCATTCTGTCCCTTTTTTGGTTCTGATTTAGAGATGTCTCATTACCCACTAGCCATACAATGGCCACCCATGTCTGTGGGGACCCTCCTTACTGACTTCCTAGCTCAGGGATGGGCCCAAGAGAGGGCTGGCCTTTCAACCAGCCAGAGCAGTCCAGTTCCCCCCAACCTACCCCCTCTCCTTGCTGTTCCCCCATCCTCACCACTTACTGGCTTCCCGCCTTTCCTTGTGGCCACTGAGGAGCTGCCATCTTGGATATGCCATCCCCTTTGAGGTGGGTGACAGGAGGCCCCACCTCCAGGGCCTTACACCCCCCAAAGCACCCCTCTTTTTACTCAAAGGCACTGACTGTCATCTGGGGGCTGGCACCTGGCTCCCCAAAGGCTCGGTGTTGACCGAGCCACAGGCCACGGACGGGGGCCAGGGCAGGGAAACCATGTTACCAGAGGCCAGGGCACCTTTACCCTCTTGGATATGCAACGCCTAGTGTGGGACCCTGTATATAGACACATCCTGCTGAGCTGAGATCCTTCCTCGTCAATGCCCAAGGTCGGGGAGGGGGGGGGGTGCCCCTGCTCCCTCCTCTAGTTGCTGGCCCGTCTCCTGGTACCCTTTTGCTCTGTGACAAACCCCATCTTCTCATCTCCTTTTTCATTTTCTTTTTTTAAAGGGAAGCTTTTTAAGAAGGCAACTTTCATCATTGTTTCTACAGGATAGGTTTCGTCTCCTCCCGGCCTCCGCCAGCCCCCCAAATGTCTCAGGAACCCCCCCTCCTGAGGGGGGTGGCAGGGGAGCCCAGGGCCAGGTGGCCTTGTTCATACCCCAGCATCACAGGGCCAGATTCAGAGAACCATCTGTGGAGGCCAAGCAGAGAGCTTGAGCACCCAGGCCAGGGACTGCCCCCCATCCCAGCTTCCAGAGGTTCCCCCGAGGGGTGAGCCCTCTTCCCCTACCCACACACCTCCTTGCAATAAAACCAACTGAAAAAGCAGCCGTCGTCCTGGCCAGTGGGGGTGACGACTTGGGGAATTGAGGCCTCTGGGACTATGGTGGGGGCACGGGCTGAACCCCGCCAAGCACACTTTAACACAAAGCTCCTTGGGAATTGCACTAAACCCCTACCCCTAGCTCTGCACCCAGCTTTCACCAGCCCTGCCCACCCATTTCGCCTTAACCCCTATTCTGCTGCCCGCCAGTCTGTCCCGGGGGCCACAGCCTCTGCATGGGCCCAGAGCCGGGACCCCCACCCACCCGGCCCAGCCCCCTAACTCTGCGCAATCACATACTGTATATAGATGTGGATCGATTTTATTTTTATTCTTTAAATTAAGGTTGTGATAAAGTGTTGCCAAAGATACTGCTGAATTCTCGCGTTTCAGGAAACAAATATTTGAGGGGGAACGTGCTGACTGGTCGGAAAGGACACAGCAAAAAAGTGTTTTTGTTTGGTTGTTTGGGGTTTTCTTTGGTGTTTTCTTTCTTTGGGGTGTTTTTTTTTAACTGCCTGGTACAAAAAAAAAAAAAAGACAAAGTGAAATTATCTTGGTGAAATTGTGTGGATGTGTGTGTGCGCATGTGTGCGCGAGTGAGGTCTAGGCTGGGGACTTCTGATGGAGGCTGGGGGCGGGGGGAGCTTGGGGGCAGGAGTAGTGGGCCTGGCAGGATGGGGGGCCCTGAGCCCCCACCTGGATCAGTCTCCAGCCTGCCAGACTGGGAGAGAGAGATAAATGTTCTTGCTGCTGCTCCCTGCCTAGTCCCCCACCCTGACCCTGACCCTGCCTTTTGAGATTAAAAGAAAAAAAAAGGCAAAAAAAAATAAAAATTAAAAACCAGTGAATGTAAAGTGCCGGACCAGGCCCAGCCTGGCATGGGTGTGGGCCTGTGCCCAGCCGGGCTCCAGTGGGCCATACCAAAGTCTGCCCCCTCGGGCAGCCCACCCGGGAGACCCCATGTGGCCATCTCTTCTTGTCACCCTGTTTATACAGGGCTGTCCCTCTGCTTCCTTCCGAGGGGGGTTCTCAGGTTGGAAGGGAGGGGCCCCCAGCTCCCACCTGGGTCTTCTGGGGAGTCTGCACTACTGAGACCCATCAGCTGTGTCGCACATGGTGGGACCGAGGCAGGGGCCAGGGCCCCCAGAACCGAGGCCATCCAGGCAGCCAGGATTGTAGGAGGCAAAACAGAGACTGAAAGGAAAAAAAAAATTTAAAACCAACAAAAAAAGCAAAAATCCTATTTTTTGAGAAAGAAAGATATTTATATTTGCAGTTTTATTTTAAAAAAGTTATTTAAGCTGAGGAAGCAGCCTTCCTGGAATGGTGGTGTTGGCCGGTGCACGACGGGTCGGCCTGGGTCTTGGGCGCCCAGGAGTTATAACCTCAGAGTTTAGACTATCTCGCACTAAATATATAAATTTACATGGAGGTGAGATGGGGGCAGGACCAGGAGATGAGGGGGCTGGGGAGACCCCCATCCCACGGCCAGGGCTGCCTGGAGGCCAACGGCCAGGGGTCCTGTGCCAGGTACCCCCAACCCCACCCAGGCCCAGACATGAGGTGCCTTGGACTTTGGGGGACCAGGCCTGGTGAATGGGGAGTTGGCGGTGGCGCCCCTGGGGGCACAGAGCACAGACATTCCATAGACTGTATTTGAGAGTCTTTATAAAATGTGGGAGATCTAAAAAAAAAATGGTAAATATGCACTTTTGGGGGGGTGGGGGGAGAAGCTTTAAAAGTAATAAAAACAAAAAGACAAAAGGTGAAAACATAAAAATCATTTTTCTTGTACATAAAAAAAACCACTAAACGCAGCCTGTTACGACCGCTGCTGCCTCATTTGCTTGATTTTGATGTTCTTTTGTGTTTTGTATTTGGGGGAGCCTGGGGAGTGGGGATGGAGGGCTTAGGGGCTCCTTCCCCATGGGTTGGGTCCCTTGTTTATAGCACTTGGGGGTCCCAGCTTGGGTTCCAGAGAGAGGACCCCATGCTAGCCTCACTCTTCTTGCCAGGCCTGGGAGGTGAAGTGGGGAAGGGAGGGGTCTGGACAGTGACTCTTGCCTCTGGGCTCCAGGGTGGGGTAGGTGTCTGGCACCCTAGGTGAGGGCAGGTGGCTCCAAGAAGGGGCCTGAGGGACAGTGGGGGCAGGCAGGAAGAACCTGCTAAGCGGGCTCCTTGGCCACCTCCTACTACAAGGTTTCTGGAGGCCCTGGGTAGGGAAGCCTACACAGGGAACCCCAAGTTTGCCAGGGGCCTCCAAGGTGCAGCCCCCTGTTGGGCCCCAGTGACCTGATCAAGGAGCTGAGCTGGCTGCTTCCTCCATATCCCCAGGGAGAAGGTTGGGCTAGGGCCCATTCACTGGGGAGGAAAATTGTGGGCTGCAGCCCTCATCTCTGGGTTGGGGTCACCAAACATGGCCACTTACAGGGGCCCTGGGGAGAACCCTCCTCCTTCCCATCCCTCAGTTGGCCTTAGGCCAGCAGGGCCTGGAGTTGGGGTGGGTGACAGTGGCACCAGGGGGCACAGATGGCCGTGGTCACAGCCTGGGAGAGGACAAGCAGGACTCTGTGAAGTGGATTTTCATAGCAACCACAGGGAATCTGTAGGGCCTGGCCTGGCCCTGGGTGGGAAAGACCAAGTGCAGGGCTTGGGGAAGGGCTTCGGATGTCCTTCAGTGCAAGGTCACATGGCAGACACAGGTCTCCGACTTGGACTGAGGAGGGGGGGGGGCAGTGGTTCAACAGCCAGACACCGAGGGAACCTGAACCAGCCACAGGGCGAACTAGAGACCTCTGATCAGGACAGCGATGAAAGCAGGTTCAACAGCCACCCAGTCCATGTGGCCTCTGCACTCACATTCCCGCATCCCCTCCCAAGGGAGAGGGGCTTTGGGTTTTGAAGTCTCATTCACGAATGGTTCCCCCTTATAAAACCATTGGTGGTAGCATATTGGAAATTTTGCAATCATCACCACCATCTCGTTTGAGGACATTCCATCCCCCCAAAAAGAAGACCCCTCTCCATCAGCAGTCACTCCCCTCTCCCTCCCCCCGCCCCTGACACTAACCCACTTCCTGTCTCTGTGGATTTGCCTGTTCACATTTCACATCAGTGGGATCACTGTGTGGTCTTTTGTGTCTGGCTTCTCTCACTGAGCAGCCTGTGCTCAGGTTCATCCACGTTGTAGCACGTGTCAGTGGTCATTCCTTTTCATGGCTGAATATTCCAGTGCATGGATGGGCCACATTTTAGCCATTCTTCAGTTGATGGGCGTTGGGCTTGTTCCCACCTTTGGCGATTGTAAAGCTGCTAGGAAGATTCATGTACAACTTTTCATGAGAAGGTAGGTTTTCATTTCCCTTGGGGGAGATACCTAGAGTGGAATTGCTGGGTCAGATCGTAACTCCATGTGTTTTTTTAAAAAAAGTTTTTATTGATTTTAGAGAGGAAGGGAGGATAGATAGAAACGTTAAGATCCCCAGCCAGTGTGGTTCCGTGGTTGAGACTTAGCCCATGAACCAGGTCACGGTTTGATTCCTGGTCAGGGTACAATGCTGGGGTTGCAGGCTCGATCCCCAGTAGGGGGCATGCAGGAGGCAACCCATTGATGATTCTCATCATTGATGTTGCTATCTCTCCTCTAAAATCTTTTTTTTAAAAAGAAACATTGATGAAAAACATCCTTGGGCTGCCTCCTGCACACCTCCTACTGGGGATTGAGCCCACAATCCAGAGCTGTGACCTGAACGGAATAGTACAGGTGACTCATGGGTCGACACAACCACTGAGCCACACTGTCTGGGCTAACTTTGGAACTGCCGGACTTACCACAGCAGCTGCACCATCTTATGTTCCCACCTGTAGTGCAGGAGGGTCCCAGTCCTCATCCTCACCAGCACTTGTTGCTCTGAGATTCTAGCCCTCCTAGTGGTTGTGATTTGCATTTCCCTGGTGACAGGGTGCTGAGCATCTTTTTGGGAGCCTAATGCCTGCCTCACCAGGCCCAGCAGACGGACACTGGGCCAGGCAGTTCCAAGTGAAATCCTCATTTGACCAAATGTGGTGCCTTTTGAATTCTGGACACCATGCAGCAGAGAAAAAACTGTGGATGGGGAGGTGTTTGTCATTTGGTCCCTGCCCCCCAGCTGACACCTCAGAGACACAGAAAAGCAGATGCCATGGTGGCTTCACCTTGACCTTTTTATTTGCATTTTTAAAAAAACAATTAAATTAGAATACAAATATTAGAAAACAGCGGCCTTCAGCTGCCAGTGCAGACTGAGGGAGGCTGGACTGCGCAACTGAGTTTATACAGTAAAACTGAATTTGCCCTCGACCAGATTTATGTCCTTTTTTCTTTAGACCTGAAATGATATTGCTTCCTGACTAGTAGAGTTGTTTATACAAAGGAAAATTATTCTGGGGTTGGTGGGGAAAGGACAGGGAACAGAAAAAGCAAAACAGGAGGGCAGGCAGAAGTGGTCTGGGGTGTTGTGGCTTCTGAGGGGGCAAGGATGCTGGGTGGTGGGCCAAGCACCCAGCTGCAGGTCCCTGGAGGCATCTGGGGTTGCTATGGAAGCCCCATGGTTGCTGGACCACCCCCAAGGCTAATTGGGTTGCTAAAGGGTGGCCCCCAGCCCAGTCCTGTTGGAAGACGAGTATGAGGCTCCAGGGGGAGGGGCTGCAGGGCAGGCCTCGTACCCGTCGGAAAACCCAAGAGCAAGAGGGGAAGGAACCACCCCAAATTAAGAGGACGGGGCAGGAGTCCCTGCTGCCCCTCAGAGGTGGCCACCTTCCCGGCGGTGGCACCCGTGGACATCTGCACTGTTCCGTAGGGAAGTTAACCTGAATTGGAGTTACCGAGGTAGCTGGCTAAAGAACTGAGACCCCCCCACGCCACACGGTGCCACACCCTGAAGCCCCCACCTCAAAGGGGGTTCTGGCCACATGCTGGGTCTTCAAAATACCAAGTTATTGCACTTTCAAAAAATACAACACATCTGTGGCTAAACCCTCCCTAGCCCACCCCCACCCACCTGCTCACGGCCCCCACCGCCCCCTCCCACCCCAACCCACTCCATGGCTTCTTGGCTAAAACTCTCACTGCTCAAAGGCCCATTCCAGGGTCTCTGGGCGAGAGGACAGTTCACAGAGAGAAGAAAAGCAAAGGAACATGAATGTCCAAGTCGTGGCTGCTGCCAGGGAGCCCCTCAGTCCTCCCTGTTGCGCCCACCAGCCCCAGGTCCCTCTGTACCAGCTGGAATGGTCATCAGAAGAGGTGGGGCATCTGGGAGGATGCAGTGTCCTGCCCACCCCTCTTCTGGGTTCTGACTCCTGCTGGGGAAACAGCTGTGTGGGTGGCTCG